TGATCCCCCAAGTACCTACAAGGCAAGTACAAGCACTAGCCATTTTTTTTTTGCAGGTGAGAAAATGGAGGCAGAGAGAGGTAACCTGCTCAAGATTGCTCACTTTGGTCATTGTGACATAGGCTGATAGTGGTCACCTGGTATTCCGTGTACTCACTGCTGTCCGGAAGGAGAAAGAGCAAAACTATCTTGGACCATGTGTGGAGGGACACCAGGCTGGACTCCACACCACCTATGCCCCTGATGGGTACCTAGTAGGTACAGGGAGTGTTGCTTTGTCCTGAAGACCCATAGTGGAGTTAGGGCACCCTGGGTGCTCCCCTTCTATTCATGGACTCTGTATACACTGTACAAATATAGCCCCAACATAGAGCCAGCCTATAAAGCAGGCCCGCATTCCATGCCATCCAACACCCCCTGCCAGCTAGTCTCTGAAGGTGTCTCCGCACAGTCACTCTCTCATTGCTGTGCTGTAGCTTTGCAGCCTGCTAAGTTCATCACAGGAGACTCACTTGTTCTTGTCTTCCAGTGTGTCCGCAGGACCCCAGAAAGCCAATTCTCTCCACTCCTTCAATGTACCCCAGTCCCAATTGTGGGTTTCCCTGACCCTTCTTTTTATTTGATATACAAATTTAGGTTCATCTTAGACAAATAGTAAAATTATATGTTTGTCGAAGACTTATTTTAAAACAAAATTCTTTATGATTTACTACTAACATTTCTGCTTTTTTTCTTTTATGTTGTTAACATGGTTTGACTTACTATGGACTAAACTCAAACTCTACTTACTGTCACTTAAGGGTGACTTTTCAGTAGGAAACAGACGCCTTAGCTCAGAGCCTCTGAAACAAATTAAAATCCTCTTTAGAGGAAAATGGCTTCAGGACCATGGAAAGTTCCCAGACTGTGTTCTCCCCAAAGCCAGAACAATGAAGCCTTTCAATACAGTTCCTTTGGTCCTCCATCTCCGTACTGCCTTTAAAAAAAGGCCACACTCCCTGCGCTCACTGTGCATGAAGACTGTGTGAACCTGATGTCCGCCATCTTTTTCTGTCCTTACTGCCTGGAGGGAAAACAATGGCCCAAGGGAAGGGACAAGGCCAGGATAGGAGACCCCTGGCTCTGTCCACTTACAGAATTTCTCATCTCTTCCTCCTGTAGGGGACAAACGTTGTGCCCCACAGCTAACATGCAGAGGTCTTGTCTTGTTCCCATGCCTCAGAATGTGACTGTCTTTGGAGATCAGGCCTAACCCAAGATGACTTTTATAAAGGGATTCTGGACAAAGGTACACACAGAAAAGATATATACACATAAGGAGAAGATGGTGGAGAGAGGGGTGTGAGCAGCCCAGTTAGCCTGCCAGCTGACACGTTTCTGTTAACCGAGACAGGGCTGGGTAAGAATGCCTGAAAACCTGTGCTTGATTCCAGAGTCCACATAAAAACACTGGATACACAGTGCATGTCTGTAATCCCAGTATTTCTATGGAAGTGTGGGAGGCTTAGACGGAAGAATTACTCAGGGGCTTGCAGGACAGCTCAGCTCAAGCATACCGTGTGGCAGAAGCTTCAGGAGAGACCCTGCCACACAGATAGAAGGAAGGAGAATTGACTCCTGAAAGTTGTCCACTGACTTTCATGAGAGCTTAATGTTTAAATTAACAGGACGAGTAAAGATGTGGTACATGCACGCCCACTTTCACACTAAATAAAATTTAAAGACTGCAGAAAAGAATCGCGGGACAGTAACATTTTGCTGTCAGTTAGGGGCACCTGGGTAAGTGAGTATGCCTTCTCTCACAGGTCTGCGCGGCCATCTACCCATCTCTTTCCCACAAGTGCTCAGTCTGGCTCCACACCAGCCAGAAGATAATCGAGGGCCATGGTGGAAGGTTGTTCCAGACAGAGGAAGAACTTACACAAAAACCCTGAGGCTAGAAGGGGCTAAAGCGTTGTTGGCAGTACAGGAAGCAGGCCAGTGTGGTCAGGATCCCTGCAGCCTAAAGGATGGAGACGGTCCAGATGATCCTGCGTGTGCAGGAGAGGAGCTGGGATTTTAACTCTTGGTTTTTAGGCTGGCCTTCATATCCTCTGGCCAGTTTCTCCACCCACTCTCCAGCACGCGCGTGTGGAGAGAAGCAAGCAGGGTCCAGCCCGGCGAAGCTTTGCTGCCTGGGCACCCTTTGTTTCAGGCACTCCAGACTACAAATGCAAACACCTCACTGCTGCCAGAAGCAATAAAAAAATCAGAAAATAGAGAGGGAGAGGACAAATCATCTCTCCCAACCCCTGCTGAGCATGCAGAGTGAGGGACATATGGAAATTAATATATTCGGCTCTGATAACACGGTTTTCCTGGGTGTTTTGATTAAATGCCGACGGTTATTAAATACCCTCCTCCTCCATGCTCGTCTCTGAAAGCCTATGTTGCTTTTCATTTTGAACTCTGATGAACTGTCTCGTGCCACTCACACCCTCCGCTGAGCCTCAGCCACTGCAGCCTGGCATTAAGGAGAAAATCTCAGTGGAGAAAATCAATATGTGATGTCAGGCGGGAGGTCAGAACACGGGCCTCCCCAGTTGGCAGGAGCTGGGACCCGGTGGCTTTGGAACAAAGGGAGGTGTGCCCTGAAGAAGGTCAGCCTTTTGGCCCAGTCAGGAAAATGAATCTACTTCTTAATTAGATTAACAGGCTAGTATCTTGCGATGAAAAGCTGGGCTAGGCTAGGGTGGGCAATGGGCAGGTTTGTTGAAGGCTTGGAATGCACTCACTAGCTCCTGGTCTCCCTAGGGACTGGACTGAGGACTTTGATCTTGTAGGGATGTGTGGCACCAGGGATGGAGGAAGGAGAAGACCCTGGGGGCTCCCGGGTGTGTGTTCAGACACACCTCCTGCTTCTGCTTGTAGGAATGACCTTTCCCTATACTCTTCTTACTCCTTGGTCTTTACATTTCCGATCAGCAACCATTGCCTTGTAAGGTCCCCATGATGCTAACTGACAGCACAAAGTGCTGCCGGCCCATGTCACCCGACGAGCCAGCAATGCTCTGTTTGTGACTCTCTGATGGCGGCAGGTGTCTTTACTCTTCTGCCTGCTTAATTTTCTCTGTCAACTTGGCTGGTTGCAGGTGCCCAGATATTTGGTCTGACATTCTTGTGTTTCTGCAAGGGTGTTTTGGGATAAGTTTAACATTTAAATTAATAGGCTGAATAAATATTGACCTCTTAATGTGGATGAGCCTCCTCCAAGCAGGTGAAGGCTTGATTGGAAGAAAGAGACGGTCCTCTTGTGAGTGTCAGTATCTCTCTCCACCTGACTGATTTGGGGTTGTGATGATTACTGGTTGGAGTTGAATTGAGACTCTGGGATCTTCAGCCTGGTGGCATGGGGGAATGGAAGACCGTCTCTTCTCCCAGAACTTTAGCTCACTGAGTGCAGATCTTATGACTTAATGTTCATATGTGAGCAAGTTCCTAATAATAAATCTCTTTATACATGCCACTGCCATTCCCCACTTCTCTGTAAGACCTTGGCTAGGACAGTGAGCTCTAAGAGACAGAGAAGTACATCTGCTTTTTCTCATCCTTGTGTCTCCAGAGTTGGATATAGTGCCTGGCATATGGTATGTACGTGGTGAATATGGGGCCTCCTGTACCTGGCAGAGGCGTAGGGGTGCTAAGTATCTTACAATGGCAGGCCTGGGGTGGTGGCTGTGGAGGAGTATGGAAGCCATTCTGCTCGCCATCTACTGCTCCCTCCTCATGCTCCGAAGGCACCAGCACTGCCTTATTCGTGTAACTGTGTTGGCCCCTTCTGCCCACGTGCTCTATGTGGACTGTGGGGCTCAGGAGGATTGATTGAGGTCACATGGGCACCAAGTGCCCTGAGTTTACCTGTGTTCCCCACGTACTGTTTTAAACATTCTCATTTAAAAACCTCTAAAACCTGGTCCGTTCTCCAGCTTGAGGTCTGGGCTCACAATTTTCCCAGTCCGTTCACAGTTTATTCTTCTGCATTCAGGACTCCTGCGGGCCTGCTTGACTCTAAATCCCAGGCTGGTATCTGCCACACTGGCTGTGAGGGCCTCTGAGCTTCTTGAGGCCCCCTCAGGAGTATCTCTAGGTCAGTGGTTCGCCCATCTTGTTCCATATTCACTCACCAGAGAGAGCCTGCCCCTCAAGGTAGCTCATGTTACCTCATACGCAGCAGGTCCCAAACTGAGCACAAATGCTTCGTGCCTCGACTGACTTCCTGTAGCCCGCATCCCGCACGCCATTCATGTCACTAATTGGGTGTGTCTTCTCTCCTCTTCTCCTAACCCAGCATTTGCCCCTACCTCTCCCTGCTTCTCCTATCCCAGTGGTTCTCAACCTATGGGTCACAACCCCTTTGGGGGTCACATATCAGATATCCTGCATACCAGATATTTATATTACAATTTATATCAGCAGAAAAATCACAGTTATGAAGGAGCAACATGAATAATTGCGTGGTCCGGGGTCACCACAGTATGAGGAACTGTATTGCGATGGTCACGGCATTAGGAAGGTTGAGAACCGCTGTCTTATCCCTTCCTCATCCCCTGTGTATCCTCACTACAAGCCCCCTTACAGCCCAGCAAGTCCGGTTAACTCTGCTTCCGAGACCTATCTGGGATTCTCCGCTGCTGGCCGTGCTACCTCACCTCCGTGTCCACACCACCCCTAACAGTCTCTTCACCGTTTCCTTGTGCTCCTCACAGCAGTGAGTGATCTCCACAACGAATGCAGCTCAGCTCACAGTGCTCAGCCCTTGCGGGCAGGGTTTTCTCAGCATGCGAGTGCTGCCGACCCGAGCATGGGGCATCCCCTTCTCTGGAACATTAGATGTGGGGGGGGCTGACTCCCCAATCAGCTTAACAAGTGTGATTTCTTTACTCCCGCTGTTAAATGAGACGGAACCCTTCCAGGACCCCCCTCCTCCTCCCAACCTCCACGGCTCCTGTGTCAATACTCACACTTGGTGTGCCTGTCACACAGGGCAGATGCCCGCATGTCACACAGCCGGATTGTCCCCTTGCTGCTGCTGTACACAAAGGTGTTGCAGTGATGGGGGTGGAACTCGGCTGCCGTGATCACCTCTGTGAGCTCCTCCATGTTGGCTGGCTTGATATCCACGATGTCTGGCACAGACGAGTCAAGGAAGAGCAAGGAGAGGGGGGCAGAGCTTGGGGCATCAGCAACCCTTGCTGTGAGTGCTGTGGGAGCATTTACCATGCACAGGGGCATCTCGCTGGGAGGCGGTTAGCGGAAAAGCAGGCAGCAGTAATTTCTGGCAGATGAGGCTCAGGGACTTTAAGGGATGGGGGCTGCCCTGTGGTCAGAGGAAGCATTAGAACTTAGGTCTAAGCTGGGTGCAGTGGCTCATGACTCTAATTACTGAACTTAGGAAGCTGAGGCAAGAGGATTGCTGTGAGTTCCAGTCTAGCCTGTGAAATCCTGTCTCAATGAAGTTACGTATCCTAACTCCTCTATTTCATCTTCTGTGACACATAGAAGAAGAACTCATACTTGCCCACAAGGTCATTTGAGGGTTTCCCACTCTATAGCGACAGCTAAGGATCCAGCTAGGCCCACTCCAGCCAAACTATTGAATTTGGACTCTTCCTGGGATCTCTTGACTGATAAGTGGCACCTGCAACAGGCTGCAGGCTGCAAATCCTTTCCCTGTGGACGATCCATAAAGCAACAGCAGCTGCCTCTCAGTGAGGGTTTGTTAAAGAGCCTCTCAGGGCACACGTCCTGAACTTTGTCTCATTTAATCCTTACAGCAACACTGCGAATAACACTTTTTACAACCCTGTTCAGGGATGGAAGTGGAGGTTCTGTGAGCATTCAAGAAGTTTCCACAAGAGACGTGGCTAAATGGGCTGGAGAGATTCTCAGGTGATGGTGCTTGCTGCTAAGTCTGCTTGACCTGAGTTTGATCTCCAGGGCCCACTGGGTAGGAGACAGCCAGCTTCCACAAGCTGTGTTCTGACTTCCACAGGCATGTTAAGCAACATGTTAACTACTCGTCTATTTTCTCCTCTCTCTCTCTCTCTCTCTCTCTCTCTCTCTCTCTCTCTCTCTCTGTCTGTCTCTCTCACACACACACACAAAATCCTCTCTCCTTTGAGATAAACAGCCCTTCTAGTCTCCCTCCATAAGCTGTGATTTGATAGGGCTGAGGTGTCAGGTAGGAGCTTAAGTGTCAGAAAGAAACCATCTACGTGTAGTGAGGGATTTGAGATCATTTGGGATATACTCAGTTTTAGCCTCCAGGTTCCTACCTCCCCAGTATATTCCTTTGTAATAATAATAATAATAATAAAATATTCAGGTATATGCATATATATATATTTGAGGCTATATCCTTGTCTATCAGAATGAAACATTTAGACTTTTGTTTATAAAGCAAGTCAGTGGAGATGAAAACAAATACTTTCCAAGGAACATATAGCAGAAGTGAAGGAATTGGCTTGTGGATGCCCTGTCACATCCCTACCAAAAGTCTGGGAGCTCCTGGCTGGGGCTGCGGTTCTGTCTGGGGACCAGCTGTACCTGGTCACGCGGATGTTGGGGTGTGGCAAAGCTGATCAAGAGGACCTGCACTCCTCTGGCTGCGCCACTCGCGCGCCACCTTTCTGAGGCTTGCCCTGATCACCGCGTTGGTTTCCCCTTTTCTTACCACATTTTTCTTTAGATTACCTCACTTTTTCATCTTTCTAAGCAGTAAGCCAACATTCACAAAATGATGGGTGAAAATGAACACATACTGATTCAAATGAAATGTATGGGCCAGGAATCTTTGAGCCACACTTCGGCAAAAAAAAAAAAAAATGTGTTATATGAACAAACAGTAGCTTGACACAGCCCATCCTAGAGATGCTTTTGCCTAAGCAAGCAACACAGCTCCCTCTTCGGCATGGAGACAGGCGCAAACATGCAATATGCTCATATTTTAAGCCCTAGTAGCGCCAATTAGGTACTCTTGTGCTAACAGACGTAGACACGTGCTAGCAAACGCCACCTAGGTTCCTGCTAGATCTGTGGCCGCGAGGGATTTGTTCCAGTGGCTTTGCATCGGGCTGCGCCTCTGGCTGTTTATCTTGTGGGCATCCCGCTGCATTCTTTCTAAAATTAGTATGAGCCTGCGCTAACGTCGCCCTTTGCCACATTTCCATCCACCAAAACTGGGTGCAAAGATGACTCGGCTCAGCAGGGCATGTGTATTCCTGGGTGAACAAATTGCTGCCTCTCAACTTAGCCTCTGCCTTTGGGATGCACGCCTGGAGCTCAAGCCCAAACAGCTCGGGAAGGGCTGCAGGCGGCAGCTCTGATGTGCTTTCTGGCTGCTGACCTGTGCCTTGGGCTTGGCAGGCAAGCCCCGGATAGGGTAAGCAGGGGTTCCTGTTCAGTTGCTCCGTACCCTGCAGTGCCGGCAAGCACGCTTCCCTTTTCCTAAAGCAAGGAGAGAAAATCTGGTGTCAGCTTTCTCAGCCGTACCAGTATAGCTCAGCAAACGAGCTGCACTGGCAGAGAGATCTTTGCCGTGTGGGCGAGGGAGGTGCCACAGTCACAGTTATTTTTTCTACCTAAAAATAAAGTCCCAAAGTCAGAAGATGAGAAAACAAAGTGCCTAAGCGTATCTGTGCCTCCGGGAGCATCCTCCCACCGTCGAGGACATCTTCCTGGACCGGTGCCCCGTGCATCTGCCTCTGTCCTCTGTTGCTAGGTCTGCTCCGCTTCCCGCCCACCAGCCCTTCATCTGAAGCACTTGATTCTTCTCCAAGGTCTGAGTCGTCCTCCTGATACAGTGCTCAGCTTTGACCCAGGTTTGGCCAGGGGAAGAAGCCGTGATTCTGTCCCGTTTTTAGCACAACCAGCCGTAGCTGGTGCCTACCAAGTGTTGAGCCTGCCCTATGCTCTCATTTGTCCTCCATCACAGGCAGGTGAAGTCAGAGCCATTAATAGTCCTATTTTACAGCTGACAAGACAGATAAATACATTTTTCTTCTCATCAGGAACAACTGTTGTTTCTGAAGTCTGTTCTTTGCCATTTTCATCCATGGGTTCATTACACTTGGGTTACTTTTGACGCTGCCCTCTTTCGTCTCCCTCCTGTTCTTATCATCCTCTCATCCCCCCCCCCCCCCCAGACACGGTTTCTCTGTGTAGCCCTGGCTGCCCTGGAACTCACTTTGTAGACCAGGCTGGCCTTGAACTCACAGAGATCTGCCTGCCTCTGCCTTCCAAATTCTGGGATTAAAGACGTGCGCCACCAACGCCCACCCTTTGTCCTTTCTTTATGTTCCTTTTCTGTATTCATATGCCTTTGCTTTTTTGTTTATTTTTTTGAGACCCAATGAGCTTAACTGGGGGCATCTGTGTGGCCATGGCTTTGCATTATTTGAGCGTGTGTATGTGCACACATGTGCCGAGGTGTGCAAAGGATATTGGTGGAGTTGGATTTTCTCCTACTTCGTGGATCCTGGGGATTGAACTCAGGTCATCAGCCTTGGTGGCAAGAAACTTGCCGAGGCATTTTGCTGACCTCTACTAGAACATTTTTAGGGTCATATGACTGTGTGGGGGTAGAGCTGGGGTTTGCACTCAGGCTTGTGCCAGGATTCTTTACATGCAGCCTCACTGTATTCTATGAGGAACGGCCTCATGAGGACAGTTTCCCTAAGTGGTTTGTCTGGCTCTAGGGTAGCAATGACTGGCTTCCCAGAGAGAGCTCTATGCCCTTTGAATTATGCCCCTGAAATATCTCCAACTACATTTCCAGGATGGGATTTTCTAGAACCAGAACTGTTATGTCCTATGACATCATTCATTTGCTTGAGCTAGGAGTTGGAACTAAAAACCTAACAAGGGCTTTCTTGTCCTTTTTTTCAAAGGGAAGACTTTGCTGGTTCTAGAAACATGTGAGAGAGTCTAGCTGGCAAAATTTGATGTCTTCTGAGGAAGACAGGAGGAAATCCACTCTGATGCCCAGAAACCCAGGCCATTTCTCTCTCAGGTTCCAAAGGGAGATGTGTGGCTACATCACACATGCTGCCCGCTTCATATGGGGAACGAGGGAGAAAGGCGCCAGGCAAGGCAAGGTGCCCTGAATTACTGGAAAATTGGATGATGTATTTTGACAGTCAATTTTCTCCATCTGATCCTTTTGAGCACTCTATCTAAATTATTTCCCTGTTGTCCCAAAGAACTAAACAGCAAAAGATACCACTGAGCTTGTGCCTAATATACAACCCAGACAGCCAACAGATTGCCATTAAATTAACCCTGGGGCCTGACAGGTCTGTTCTTTTTGACCCCAAATGCTTGGGGCCATTCCATATTAATGCTAAACCCAGGCAAATTACCTCCACTAACAAAAGGGGTTAATCTGGCTCTCCAGGTGGGGAGGGGACACCACCCTGGAGACAGCTCTGAGGATGAGATGGGGCATAGCCAGCCTGGCAGCTGAGCTCCATGCTCGCAAGGCAGAAGGAGGGAAGGTGAGGGCACTGCTGTGCCAGGCAGTTGCCGAAGGCATCATTGAAAGCAATAACTGCAGACATCGGGAGGTCACCCCTTCAGGGATTTGCTTCAAACACATAAGCAGCCCGAGCCATAAATTACACCAGCAGTAGAATGAGGGGGCGGAAGGGATCAGGACTGGGTGGTGGAGGGAGAGGGAAGCTTTTCAGTCATTTACATCATCCATGTTGGGAAGATCCAAGCTTTCTATACCTGTCATTCCCCTGCCTCTAGTCTACAGTAACATGAAGGATTGACAGTGACCTAGATAAATATACAGAAATACATGATTAAGCGAACTTTAAAAAAACCTGTCATTAAATTATTTTTGCAGTGAAATGTCCCAGTATGTAAAAAAAAAAGTTCACTGTCTGCAAAATTCTATCTCTAGGAACATAATGCCTACAGGTATAAAGCCTATCCCTGAAAGCAATGTGCTTCAAGGCAGGGGGCGGGGCATGGAGCTGCTTATGACGATTCTATGAGGGTGCATAGAATCACTGTGAGTGCTTTTAAAAATATATCCGTACCATACCCACACTTCCATTCAGTGAAATAGTAGTATTTTAGAGTATAATAATGTTTAAGACAGATTTTATGCTTACCATAT